TTCAATCACTGGTTCTGAAAAAAAAAAAAAGAGAGAGAGAGAGAAAAAATACAATATTGAGAATTTTCTTTAGTAAGAAGTTAATGTGATGTAAATTCTATTTTTGTCTTACAATGACTTTTTACAATTTTTTAAATTAATTTATTGGTGTTCATTAGATATACATAACAATCACAGTCATCACCGGGAATTTGTGCCTATACGTAATCTTAAGTCTTGGAGCTGGGGAGATGGCTCCATAGAATAAGCGCCTGCCTGGCAAGTGCAGGGTCCTGAGTTCAATCCCCGGTACCACAAAAAAAACCTCCCATAGTCTTGATTCTTTTTTCCCTTCCCCCTTTAGCCCCTCCACCCATCCTTATTCACAAAAGCTTTGTTTCTAATTGCTTCTTTCCCTTCCTCCTTTTCCCTTCCTTCTCCCTTCCTCTCCCCTTCACTTGACTCCCTTCTCACTTGGACATCCTTGCCCTACTTCCCAGCGTCTGCATTCGCTTTGGTCCTTCTTGATGCCTTTGGTTTCTCACACGGACACACAGTGTGATACTTAAACGTGTGTCCAACTTATTTTACTTAAAAGTATGGTCCCAAGGCGCATCCATCTCCTAAAACTGTCTCAAGTTTATCCTTCTTTATGGAAGAGCAGCACTCCATTTTATATTAAAAACCACATTTCTTTATCCATTCGTCTGCTGATGGGTATGTGGACTGTTTCCAAGATTCAGCTACTACTACAGCTTGTGCTGCCGTGAGTACAGGTGTGCACATCGCTGTGATGGGCTTTAAATGTTTAGTGAGACACCAAGAAGGGGAATAACTGGGCCAAAGGAAACCTCTAGTTTTAGATTTTTTAGAAATCTTCATACCAATTTCCATGTTAGTTGCAACAACTTACACTCCCCCTAACAGTGGAGAAGGGCTCCTTCCTCCCCGCGGCCCCTTCCACACTCTGCTGCCAACTGGTTATCTAGAAAGTCAACAGTCTCTATCAAAATTTCAATGGCCCGCCCCACCTTGTTTTTTGCAGGAATCTATCAGTCAGTTGATCCTTGTCATAAGGTTTATGTGGAACGCACAGGGCTGCAGAACAGCCAAAACAATCTTGAAAGAGAATAAGGAAAACTCCCATTTCCTGACTTCAACACCCACTACTAAGTTACAAGTATTAAAACGTTGTGGTACTGATGCAAGAGCATGGATGTGGACCAAAGGAATAGAACCGGAAGCGCAGAAACACACCATCGTCTGTGTGGTCTGTATATTTCAAAAAGGGAACCAAGGTAACTCAGTGGCGAAAGAGCAGCCTAAAGTGTTCAGCAGCTGCCCAGGAGCAACTGGGGATCCATGTGCGAACACATGACGGGCCCTCCCTGCCTCAAGTCGCATCCCAAGGAGAAGCTGAAGCTGGAGGGCAGACCTGTGTGGGAGGTAGCAGCGAGCTCTGAGGGAAGCACCCTGCCCCCCCACGTGGTGTGACCTTGAGATAGTAAAAGATTTCTTAGTCATAACACAAAAACAAACACCAAGAGCAAGACAGCTGAGGTGAAAAGTGTCAGACATTTGCGTTTCACAGGAAAAGACAGCCCACAGAGCAAAGAAAGCATTCGCAGACTTTACCTCTGACAAGGGAGCTGTGCGCAGAACCTCTGACGCACGCACACAGCTCCGTGATGAACCACACAGCTCAACTCCTGCAGCAGCGAGTACCCTGGCATGCGAGCGCGCTGCGCTAAGAGCAGTCCCAGTGGCCACATGTTATGTGACCTCACTTACCTACGGTGTCCAAAACATGCAAACCCATAGGGACAGAGCAGGAACTGGTGTCCGGGAAGTCAGAAACGGGAAGCAACGGGCAACCAGCAGGTGGTCCTCCTTCTCTACGCTCCTGTCACACTCACCGCCTGGCTGTCCCGCAGCCTCGGGGTTCCTGCAAGTTCTGCCCCCTCCTTGTGGCTCCTCTCCACGGTCCGCATGGCCGGTGCCTATCGTCTTTCACATCTTAGGTTAAGCATCATCCCCTTTGAGGCCTCTCCTTGATTCTCCAATCTAAACTAGTTACCTGGTCATCTGGATTATCTGCTAATTTTTGAGTGTTTATTCATCTCATCCACTCATTCAAAAGTGAGGCTGCTTCTTACAAGCCAAGCGCTTCTGAGATTATAGACACGACCAAGAGAAAAAATTCCTGCCCTCGTGTAACAGCATAAGTTGGTGAAGAGGGACAGATAAACGCATAATGTTAGGCAGACATGTATAAAGCTAAAAGAGAATAAGGGGGCCAGTCAAGGTGGTGCACACCTGTAATCTCAGCACTTGGGAGGCTGAGGCAGGAGGGTCACTTTGAATTTTGAGGTCATCATGGGCTACAAAGTGAGTTCAAGGCCAGTCTGAACTCAACCCACCACACACACACCAAGAAAAGGTGAGGGGTGAAAAGCTATCAGGATGAGGGAAGGAAGTGGTGTGAGGGATGATCAAAAACATAGTAAGGGGCTGAGAAGATAGCTCAGTAGAATAAGCACTTGTCTGGCAAGCACAGGAGTTCAATCCCCAATACCGCAAAAAAAAAAAAAAAAAAAAAAGATGAATGTTTGAAAATTTTAAAAAAATTGTTATAGTGGGCTGGAGAGAAAGCTCAGTGGCATAAGCACCTGCCTGCCTGGCAAGCATGAGGTCCTGAGTTCAATCCCTGGGACCCCCCTCCAAAAAAAAAATATATATTATTGTAGTAAGACACATTGCCATGAATTCTCCTCACAACCTTTCCCTTTGCGTCGAACACTGATGCCGGTTTCTACCATTTTCTGAAGCATTTCTGAGTGCTTTTTGGAATGTTCTTACCAGGTATAGCCAAAAACCTCGTAAGTGCTGCCACCAAGCGCTGCCCAACAGGAAGGCGGCCTCGCAAGCATGTGGTGCTGGGTCCTCGTCTGCCCTATTCGCTGGATCTGGCCAAGGGAGCGTGAAAGGAAGCACCTTGAATGATTCAGGGCAGCCACAACTGGACAGCTAAAGCTACCCAGGAAGGACGAGTCGAGAGCCGCCTCGGAAAGCAGCCGGAGTACAGGCTAAGTGCATCTGAAGGCAGGGGCAGGGCTTGGAGGGGCTGCAGCAGCAGCTTCTATTGCAGTCAATTGTTTAAAAAGATCAACACACGCCCGTGCTTTCCCATCACAGCCATCTTCTGTCAGGCTACAGATGGGCTGTGAGGTGGCCACAGAACCAACGTCTGACACAGGTAAAGGCTGGCCGCCTAGGGCTGGGGATGTTGGGCAGAGGAACTGAGGCTGGAGGCTCTGGACACAACGGTGGCTGAGACAGCAGACACAGGGAGGGAAGATGCCTTGTCCCTGGGGCAGCCAACTGAGCTTGCAGGGGCAGGGGAGCGGGCAGGGGTGGCTGGTGGGCAGGCGAGAAGAGGGTGCAGCTGGCAGACAGGGCTGGGTGGAGTCAGAAGTGGGTCGTAGGAAAGGGAACCGCAGCTTAGGAGGTGTTCACAGGCACCTCAGTGGGGCGAGCCTGCAGGGATCCGCACTGCTGTGTCCCCAACTCTCCACTCCTCTCCCTCCTGCACCACGCGTGTGACCAGGGCCCTTCGACAGCCACAATCCCAGCACCTAAGAGGGCCAGGAGTACACCAGGTGCTCAGGAAACAGAACGCGGGCTTTCCTCTCGGCATTCCTAAGCCAGGAAAACATCTAGTGGCCAGTCAAGAACCTGTCACCAGGGACTCAGGATCCAGCCCGGGGCACACATACTCCTCCACACGCAGCTTGTTTCTGCAGCCTTCACAAATACTGGATCATTGCATGGAAACAGAGAGACCCTGGAAGACTAAGCGATCCAAGCAAGGGACCCCGCAAGAAGCACCCGGGTTGCATATCGCCAGCAGCCAAGTCCTTGAGACACTGTCCTCGAGGCAGGGACACCAGTCTGGCCGCGTCTGCACTGTGTAAGGCAGCGCTGGGCCCTGCTGCCAACTGGTTCCCGCGCTTCCTGGAGCTCTGGGTGCGGAGCAGTGATTTGTCATCACGTTTTCCTCCCACACTGAAAGGAGCAGAACCGCGCCTATGAGGATCAGAAACGTTGAATTGTGCAGACCTGAAAACAGAGATGTGCTCCCTTTCTTATTTGGTAAATATTTTGCCTCTGAGGCATCAGCAGCTAATCACAGCTGTTTCCTTCAGTGACAAATGGATTCAATCAGGTAAATTTCAGACACGAAGCACACCAACTGTCAGTCTCTCCACTCTGCAGCACGGTGGCACGTCCCTGGTGCGGTGCGCAGATTAACTATGTGCGCATTCATCAGCACAGACAAAGCGCTAATGGCCTCTGATTAGGGCTCGAACGAAAACAGCACCACCTCCCTCTCACCCCAGCTCCGCTGAAACGGAAGGAAGTGCTGCTCAGCCCCATCCGTGGCCCGCTGTGTGCATTCCTGACTAACCGGGCACGCTGGATTCTGGCTAGAATTTTTCCCTTACAAATCAAAGGCAGCCAGGGATGTAGCTCAGCGTACAGTGCCTGCCTGCCGGGACCTACCCCCACTCCCACCCTGCGAAGAGTGAAGAAAAACCAAAGGCAAGAAGGAGATGCTACTGAGATTTCATTTTATTTAAACATTTTTTCATGTCAAACTAAAACAAGAATTAAGCGAAATCCGTTTATCCCATCTACAATTCATAAAACATCTTACCAAAGGGAGTGTTACATGCATATCAATAAACAATGGCAGTTCAATCTAAAAACAGATACTCAGAAAAGTAAGTAAATAGTAAATACATTTTATTCCATATTTTAAAAATACAGATTTTGTGGCAATTTATAAATAAATTTCTACTGTAACACAAAAATGTTATTTTGAACCAGAAAAATATGCCCCAAATTTCATTTACAAACACAAAGCAGCATGCTTTGTGTAAGGATACTTCACCTTAATGCATAATTTTGCTTTCTAAAAAGATGGCTGCTCCAATCAGGTGTACAACCACTTGTACAGCCAAGTTCTGTCTGCCCGAAGCGGTCCTTGTAGAGAAGCCACTGCTTTACTCGCTGCAGGGCAGAGGCCAGCAAACCAGCCTGGCCTCCGCCTCCATGTGAATCTGCCCAGCGCCTGCACGGCTTGCCGCAAGGGAGGGAGCCAGCTCAGACCTGCACGCAGCACCAGCTCAGGCTCCGGAAACAGTGAGGCGGCCGTGAAGGACAGCATCTACCGCTACTAAAAATTAACGACCTTGGGCATCTTTGTTTTGGGTTTCTGCGTTTGAGGTGCATCCACAACTTCTTCATAGTCTGCACTCATTCCCTCTGCCCAGCGGCCAACGGTGACCGTCCTATCTGCACAGGAACAGAAAAGCCAGCACGTAAGAAAGGCAGCCACCACGGCCAGCTGGGATGGTACCCGCTCAGCAGAGGAACTTGCTTTGACATGAATCATCATGAGGAGGGAAAAGCAAGCGAGAGCTCTAGCTGATGATAACCCTTGATTTCCTAGCACCAGGAGCAGTCGCTCAGCCCAATTAGGGCAACACAGCTACCACTCAGCCACGCACACGCTGATGAGGAAGTGCTTCCGTTCTTTCCCAGACTCGTCCTTAGGGAGGCCCCAGATCCCGAGAGGGGCAAACGGTGAGACTTGGGAAGCATCCATTCACAGGCACAAGACTCCACCTGTGAAATTATACCACATCTGCGTGGCAGGCCTCATTCGGGGAGCGGCAATTCTCCCGGGAGGGAGACTCAAACGCCTCTTCCTCGCTTCAATCTCGCTGCTACAGTGTGGTCAAGACCATCTTCTCCTAGACAAGAGGTAAACAAGAACCTCGCTTCCAAACCCACATACCAGGGACAGGTGGCAAGAACACAGAGATCCGCATGGGATGGGAAAGTGTGCCTTCTCCCGAGGAGAAGGCACGACCACGCCACCCCACTGCCTTGGCCTTGCTTTTTTAAAATACAAGGTTATCGCCACTCTGGTGCAGGCATACTAACAAAATGACCCCCTTTCTCAAATGGCTGCTACAGGCATAGTGAGCCCTGACAAAGAGCTCGAGGAACAAGGCTAGTGCTGCACTCGGAAGAAAACACTAGCCAGGGCCACGTCGAAAACACCTTTCTCATACTTTCGGCAGTTTTTGCTGTCAACTCTGAATTATTTCAGCGCACACAAAGCACAGCACATAGGAAGACATTCATCCTGTGAGTGCTGGAATTGCTTTATGCTGTGATTTTTCTCTTGGTGAACCAATACTTTTCTATAAGCAACAGGATAAGCTCTATTATAATCAAGTTCACTAGGTAGCCCAAGCAAGAACTTAGGAAGACGATGCTAGGTAGAAAAGGGACCCTACGGCCAGCCAGATAGCTCAGCAGACTAAAGCGCCTGCTTAGGCAGACACATGGACAGAGGCTCGATCCCTGGCGTGCCGGGCCGGCCCCAGCCCCACCCCCAGGGCACTCTGAGCCAATGACTGAAACTGGGCATGGTGGCATGTGCCTATAATCCCAGCCCTTGGGAGGCTGAAAAGAGGATCACTACAAGTCCAATCTATGTAGTGAGACCCTGTAGACCCTGTCCTAAATACAGAAAAAAAAGAAAAGGAAAGGGACCCCAAGGCTTACTGGCCTCTCTTCTTCTGAGACCAGGAGACTGCAGGGTCAACTGGAACAAGAAATGCCCAGTGTGTGTGGGGGGAAGGGGGAGACAGTTCTGGGTGTCTGGATGACTGGTTTATTGGATGTGAAGTTCCACTCTGGGTGGAATGAACAGGTAAGGGAGCAGGGAGGCCCACTTGTGCTGTGCAGGAGCTTGGGTCTCGCCTTCCCCTCTGGACGCAGGCGCCCTCCTTCACCCCTGACTCTGTGGCTGCCAAGGGAAGCCTGCCTTGGAGATCCCGTATATAGTGTGTATTATGGGCAACCTGTTCCTCCTGCCAACCCTCGCTGACAAGGCAGCTGAGGCTTGTGACCTGGCACTGTGCCTGCTGTGGCAGAGGAGAGTGAAGGGATAGCTGCAGGAAGGAAGTGCCTTGGCTGATGGCAGCTGCAGCCCTGGGAGCCACTGACAATAAAACACAGCAAATGCGCTGGGCTACCTACCTCCCCCTTCCCGCTGGGGCCAGGGACTCACTCACCCGAGCGCTGGCTTTTGGGGCAATCTTTCTTCAGATGTTCCACTGAGCCACAAAGTTTGCAACCACCACCTAGTAAAGAACAACACGACTGAGCACCATCTTAGACTCCAGCGAGTCAGAGCCAGGAACCGCTCTCCTAACCTCAGAGCACTGACGTGTCCCTGCCGAGGGCTTTCTGGAGAGAAGCACAGAAGGGAGCCCCACCACCCTCGTCCCATGGGACCACCTCGGCCTGTGACCCCCGGGGGCTGTGAAGCACTGTCCTGGCCAACACACTCTCCTGAGGAAGATGACTGGGGTGTTCAGTGTGTGACTCACAGGATGGCGAAAGCCTCTGGCTACACACCACAGCCGACGGGGGGACTGACCCAAGGACCAGAACCACCTTGGTTCTGGCGCCTTGCCTCTGTCAGGCGTCTCAGCCCCCAGAATACTCATCTGTCTGCTTCAAGCGACATCACATGGCTGGGAATTCCACACACATGGTGCTAAGGGGAGCCCTCTGCTGTGTGGGCAGGACTGTAATCACGTTCACAACGTTGAGTGCCCGTCAGGAAAGCAGCCTCCAATGCTCCCTTCTCTTTTTTTAAAAACTTTTTGGAGATTGGGAGTGGTGGCTCATGCCTGAAATCCCAGCTCTTGGGAGGCTGTAAACAGGCAGATCACTACAAGTCTGATCTAGTAGTGAGACCCTGAACACCCTGTAGACCCTTCCCTAAAATACAGAAAAAGAAAAAAAAAAACAAAACCCTTTTTTGGAACTCTGCTCACTTTGGTTGACTTTCTAAGCCATTTCGCTCCCTAGTCTGCTGTCTGGGCCCAAGCCCTTTCCACTTCCCAGGGCAAGGGCTATAAACCAGAAGAGCACTGGATGACACAGATGAAACCTTAACAGGCAAAGGCTGCGGGTCACCAAATGTGACGCCCATGAGCCCAGTCACACTTGCACGCCCCTCTCAGCAACATAAAGGCTGCCAGCCACGGGAGATCCACTGATACACATTCCCAACACAAAAATGTGAACCAAAAATGCATCTCAGAATAAAGTAGAGTTTCTCATCTGTGTGACAGGTGAGTGAGACCTGGCTGAAGCCCCCAGCTACTACGCAGTGGCTCAAGGCCACAATGGGCGTCTGAGTGGCTCCAAAGCTATGTGCTCTCAAGGGACTTCTCTGCGAGGACTCAGGATGCAGGGCGGTCTGTGCCTACCGCCAGCAGCACCGGCCATCACATCGACAGATGATGCCTACTCCTAAAGCAGCGGACCTCGCTACTTGAGTGAGCCTTACAGTGCAAGCCAGCTGTGTGATCCCAGGCCAGGTGACGATGAAGATCCAGAGAGAAAGACTACTGCAAGCTGGACGGCGAGCACCATCTACCTGTGCTACCTCACAGCACACAGGGCAGGCTGAGACTGAATGTCTCACAGCCGCGCAGTCATTTCAGATAACCCCTCTGCTCTGGCCGTGCCTGAGTGTCCATCCATAACATGCTTCCCCAATGAGGCTCAAGCCCGCTCTGCTGGAAGCACACACCTGAGCGTTCTGGTCTACTAATGTATCAAGCCATGCTGTACAATAAGCCCAGCGCACATCAGAGCACCTGATAAAAGTAACGAAATTCTCAGTGCCTCATTATGTACCAGTGTTTACAGCAGGTCTCAGCTAAGACGGCCCGGTGTTGCAGATCTACAATCCTGGCGCTCAGGAAGGCCAAGGAAGGAAGATCACAGGCACAGCCACGCCTGGGCGACTGAGCAAGACTCAAAAAGAAAAAAGTGCAAGGGTTAAGGAAGTAGCTCAGTACAGAGTATTTCGGGGTACCATCGCCAGTACCACAAAAAAAGGAAACTCAGTCACAACTCCCATGGCTCCTTGCCGGGTCGGGGACACCAGGGCAACAGTACTCACCATCGGCATAAAGTCCCTTGGGGTTGTCAGGACAAGACCGGGACAGGTGCCCCATTTCCCCACAAACAAAGCACTTTGCAAAAGGAAATTCCCCTGTAAGAAGCAATAGTTCCTATGAGGCTCACAATGCGCACGTCACATAATTCACAGTACTTCAAAAGTCTCTGAAGAAAACACGTGTTTCTTTTTAATTATGAGACTTCACAATATTAATTAGCACGTTCAGAACAAATTCTTCCCCCACAACCGGCTGTAACTGGCCACCCTCCCGAGGAGGCAAGCGGGAGGTGGAGGAGCTTACCAAGGGCTGGGTCCACCTTCGCCCTGCACTTGGTTATTTCGTGCTCTGTGGACCCACAGCGGTAACAGATCCCGGTGCCCATGTCTTGGTTTTCAAGGGCAGCTGGGCAATCGGCAACCCCATGGCCAGGTTTTCTGCAATGGAAACACACCTGGGAAAGCGAAGAGAAAGTTTCCACACCGAGTTCTCAGACTGTAAATCACTAGTGACTGTCAATTCCTATCACCAAGATGTCGTTAAGACACTGCTCATTTTGAAAGCTATTTTTAGTTCTTTGAAAAACAAAACTATTTTATTTGTAGAAAAGTGTTTTACACATTCCTAAGCAAACAGAGATGTCATTCCCCACCTGGGGGGCCTCAATGTTTGTGAAATTTTTCCATCATAAATCCACTCACCTTAGAAACAATGTTACATATGACTTTATAAGAGGCAGCTGCTTAAACAACCTGAGTAAATACTGGTTTCATTAAGAGATGCCTGCCCTGTAGAGAGGGCATCTGCTTTGGAGATGGACAGTGGCTGTAACAATCATCACTCAAGCTTTACACCCTCACAAAATTCAATGAATTGGGATTACATGGTTTCACTTCAACTCTGATCCAAATTATGTCGCGTTTATAGAATAAAGTACATTCTTTTGGCTTTGCACTCTGACACACATTAACACGCAGAAATAGTAATGTCATCCTTAGATGGGGGCACTCAACTTTAAAATGATTTATCCTAAGATACCGCCTGGCTCCAACGTGCGCCTGACCAACATGCAGCTAGTCCTGTGCTGCCGAGCAGCGTGGAGGGCGGGCTTCCGCGCCACGCTGGAGCACCCGCTATGAGCACGGCGGCACACGGCTCAGAGCCCTTCCTTAAAGAGGAAAGGCATCTCCGGAGAAACAACCATTTAATTATTTTCCTCAAATAAGCACTTTAACAAAAGTTCAACTGACAAAAATCAGCTTTCTTTCTCCTGCTCACACACACTGAATTGTAAGCACATTTGAAGGCTACAGCGACTAGCTGGTGCAAATGAAGACCGTGCCTGTCCACACCTGCACGAGAGCCACAGCTCACCGTCGGTCACCAGGGTGAGCGGGGCTGTGGCCTGCAGGTGAGCCCCAGAAAGCTGACAGCTCACTGCCATAACCTCTAAAACCTAGGGCTACCAAAACACATGGACTGAATGGCTCTTAAATTTAATGGAGATGGGATTGTGGAGTGGGATGGTCACTCTACATCGACTTCAGGGACTTGAGCTACTGATGCTTAACCTCGCACGGTTACTTTAAAAAGAGCAAGACAATATACGTGGTGGGCCACCACAGCACATGCTGTTTATGAAGTATTCCTTTTTGTGAGAAGCAGCACCCTCTCCGCTGGTCACAAATCAGAAGCTTTCCTTATGAGGTTGGGCAGAACATTTTTTCAAATGGCCTGCAATTCACCACCCAGGTGATGCCAATGATCTACAAAATTAATGAACTCACTGGGTTTAAAAATGTTTTAAAATAACTAACTAAAATTTAAACAAAACTCTATCTTGATCTAAACAGGGATGGTTAACTTTTCTATCCAAATTTAACTGGAAGGAGAGCTCCATCAGTATTGTCTCTAAACAGCTGGACTCAAACAGGGCCAGGCACGGACAGTCCCGCCAGCGGCAGAAGTCACATCTGTACGGCGGAGCCTGCAAGGCCGCCCACGCAGAGGCGCATTTGGAAACCTGAACAGAACACGAAGGCGCAGTCACTGACAACAAGTCCTGTTTCTTCTGCACTGTCTGCCTAGAAAATGAGAGGCTCACACAGAGAAGGGAAGTAACAGGACCGAGGATTCACTTCCTGAGTGTGGTATGGTTCAAGGTCCTGGGCTAAGCACTAGAGAAGTAAACCTGGCCCAGGACTCCTTGCCATATACCCTGGGGGAGAAGGGTCAAGGACTGGGCAGATGGTCAGCTCCTGCTCTGGTCCCCTGCGACTAATGTGAATCACTAGACCTCCCTCGAGCCTTGATTTTCCATGGGTAAGACTGCCCGTCCTCTTTCCAAGTAACAGGAACCACGTATATTTACCCCGTGGTATGGAATCATCCATTCACGGCTATTTCAAAAGGGGCTGTGGAAAGACAGGGGAGAAGGTGGGCTGTGAAGGTGGAATCTGGGTTGGACGTTCACCTCTGCTATGAGGTAAGCAGCCCTCAGCAAGTTACTTAAACCTGTCTGTGCCGTTTTCAGTTTCTTCTATCTGTACTATGGGATGAACGGCGCTGATGAACAGCATTGCAAGCGGCCACGCATGCAGAGACGGTAAGAGCCCTCACAGAAGCGCCTGTGAGTCCAGGACCCAGCAGGACACCGTGGGCAACGTGTGCCCACGTGGGAACACCGATGAGTTTCTAGCTACCGAAGGCCAGGGACAAGGCAGGAGTGACGGTCTCACCATGGCGTTTTTCTTGGCTGCTTGTCTTTTTAGTCGCCTTCCTTCCCGACGACTGTCTTTCCTTAAAGCAACGGCAATTTCGTCTCTCAGCTCCAGGCTGTCTGTGGCTGTCACCTCCCCAGTGGGAGCCACCTGGGAGTTCTGTCTCAGGTATTCCATGAATCCATTCACATCTTCATTTAAGTACTCTTTCTTTTTCTTGTTCTTTTTATGTTTTGCTTGGGGTGTGCCATTTTTCAGGGACAGCCCACTAGCTCCAGGCTGTGGACCCTTCGGCACGTTTGAGCGCGTCTGCTGCGGGAACCCCTCCTTCATGTGCTCCCACGAGGTGGCAGGCAGGGGCCTCTTGCTGCGCGTGGTGGTAACTCGTGCCCACCGCGTCATGGCTTCTCCCGGGGGGACCTGCTCAGTCTTTAAAGCAAGCGTGGCTGGTTAGTCTGAATTTACAAAATCACAACTCCACATTCACAGTACATCACTGTATCAAATAAACTCAGGTTAAGACCTGTAACTATCAAACACTTTTCACTTAAGTACCTACAGACATATGACTTCTATGATGCGCTGCATAGCTGTGCCTCTAACATGAATCAAGAGCACTCACAGAGAAGCTACGCCCATCAGGGTGGGGCGTGGCAAGTCCACAGGGTGACAAAACCTTCCCTACGTTTATTACAACACAGGACACACTGCCACGAAGTCCCTCTAAATGCCGCCACCACCACCACCACCACCCACCCCAGCCCACCCCCGCCAGGGTCAGTTTCCCATCGTTCTTGGCCCTGTGCCTTCTACTGTAATAAGATTTGCCAAACGTAAACGTTCATCTTTCGGGACGCGTTTTAAGAGCTCGTTCATTCCGAGTCGCACTGGCCGGCAGATCTTTTGCAAAAGGGAAAGGAGCACGAGATGAAGGCGGGCCAGGGTAGGACGAGAGCTGCCCGCGCGCAGGCGCACCCACTCCACACCACGCCGCCACGACGCGCCGCGAGCCTACCCGTACAGAATTCAAATCTTACTGGACTCTCGCCTAACTGAACAGTGCTCGGGTCCCCTTTCACGCGGGCCTACCTAGCACCTGGGGCTTTCTTTGTGTGTGTACCTGAACGAAATGTAAACTCCCAGAGTAAACTCCCCAGCGCCCCTGGGGCAGAGCGCAGATCGTGCGAGGGCGCCGGGCCGGTGCCACACGCGCGTCGCCGGAGCCCCGCGAGGGCCCAGGGTGGGCGGGAGAAGGTGTCCCGGCCGGGCCTACCGGAGGGTACAGGTGCTGGCACGCTGAGGGCCATGGGGGCCCACGTGAGTCTATCCGGCGCCGAGAACACCAAGGGGGACCCGGGACGCCTCAACCGCGCGGAGAAGCCCTCCTTACCGCGCACGGTCCTCCAGAGCAGCTGAGTCGGCCGGCCAGAGAAGCCCCGAGGGTGAGACCGGAAGCGCCGCTCGCGTGTCGTCACTTCCTGCGGAAGTCGCGCTAGGTGCGTGGATTGGCTCCGGGTTGTGCTCGGCTAGTGCAGTGGGCCTTATGGACGTTTGCTTGTGGTCCTGGGTTGTAAAGGGCGGTGGTGTTGGCCCCGAGGACGCACGGATGGAGCGCGCCGTGTGTGTGCTGTGACTGCAGCTTAGCGGGAGGGACAGACGGGAGGTGGGCGGGAGATGCCAGTGTCTTCCTTGAGAAGTGACTTTCAAATTGGACTTAAAACAACACGAAGCTGGCGAAGCTGGCGGGAGGGAGCTGGGACTTGCCTGGCCGCGCGGGGCGGGCGGGGTTCCCGGGCCGCGGGCGGGACGCTGCTGCAGGCCGGAAGGCTGGGAAGGCTGGGAAGGCTGGGGGCTGCGGCGGGGCGCGGCGGGGCCTCCCCGGTGCTGGCGTCCCGCCGGCGGGGCGCTCCCTGGGCCGGAGGTGCGGCTCTCTAGGAGGGACGCTGTCTTGGCCGCGCACGGTTGCTGTTGGTCGCGCCGGTACTGCGTGGGCGAGAAGGTGGAGCCGCCGCGCGCGCTTGGGTTCCCAGAGCGCTGCCCCGACCCTGCCCTCGCGCTCGGGCCTTTTCACCTCCTACTTGCCAGCTTTCCATTTCTGCCGCCGCCCTCCCGGCCCAGCTTGCGTTCTGTCTCCCTGCGTTGCTGCGGCTGCTGCGGGCATCCGCTCCTGCCCGCTCCCTCCAGTCCATTTTCCATGCATTTTCCAAGTGAACACTGGGAGGTGCAGGTCAAGCTATTAAATCGGGTTGTTTAAGCCCTTCCACTGGCTCGCTGCCCTTGGGATGCAGGTCAGCATCCTTGGCCTGGTACTTGGGTACCCGTACACGAGCTCATCTTGTTTTGAGCTCTGTGCATAAACAGAGCTCATACTTTGACTACGTTATTTTCTTTATATGACACTCCTGATTAGTTTCCTGTCTTTCAAGGATTTTAAGATTTCACTTTCAGATAAGCGTTCCAGAACCGTGTTATCCCGTGGTAGACCAACCCCCTCCCAGTAGGACCTGATGGATGTCTGCGGCATTCTTTCAGATCTACACCTAATTGCATAATGAATGATTTAATATTTACAATTTTATTCCCATTACCTGAAGCATAATTTTTGCTCAGTGCCAACTGTATTTGTTTACTGAATGGAGCATGGTTACTTTCCATTTTGTTTAAAGCGACGTAAGAAGTGTCCTAGTGTTAAGACAAAAGATTAAAGGTATTTAGGTGTCTCACTCTTCTTTCATTGCTGGGACAAATACTCGACACTTGAAGGAAGGAAAGGTTTCTTTAGCTCACAGTTACGGAGGTTTCAGTCCACGTTCAGCTGGCTCCAAGGCAGACTGGCCCATGGCAGAGGGCAGCAAAACAGCAAAGGGAGGAGCAGCAGCAACAGTGGCTGGAGAGGAAGCCTGTCTCCCATCAGTTGCACTCAGGATATACCCCCCCAGGTTGTGTGTGGTGCTCACACCCATAATCCCAGTGGATTAAACAGAAACTAGAAGTTTGCCTATGACTGCATGAGGCTTTGTGGGGACAACTAGACACAAATCATAACAGTGGGACTATTGGGATTGGATTTGTGACACCACAAATATCTGAAGACAACAATTCTCCAGCGCTTGAAAATGAGCTTTACAAAACGTAATCGCGCTCTTCACATCATGAGGGTCTCCACCACCTGGCTTCTGATTTTAAGCCCTTAGGCTTTCTCTGTTCTAGATGTCTGGTACTTGCATAACATACACCACTAGAGGGCATAAGTAACTAAAGCTTGTTCCCTAGTGTTCTGTGATGTGTGGACTAGACTGTTCGTAGGTGGAAGTGAAGGGACATCTCAGTTTGTTTCTGTGCAAGTGTGTCAGATACAGATTTGTAATTGAGTAAGATCATACAATAAATCCTTTGGAATTCAGGAGAAAATGTTATTACAATTAATAGCTAATTTTTACTATTTTATAGGTACCTCGCACCATGCTTAATGCTTTCCATTCATCGCCTAACTATATGCTATGAGGTTGGTGCTGTTATTTTCTTCATTGATACTGCGAGGAAATGAGCTCAGGCAGCTTAGGTAACGTAGCCAGGGTTATACAGCTGCCGAGAGAGCCAAGGCTCCACTGCTTTAGAATACTGCAGAGGACTGGCTGCTTGGACCCACATGAAAGGACACTTTACTCAGTTGTCCTTGTCCTTGTGGGGTTTTGCGGGGGGGTCACATTTAATTTAGATCTTTTAATTTTCCTTTTTATTTATTGAAATATAAATATTTTCATAATAAAGTATGAGCAAAGCAAATGTTAGGAGCCAAGGTATGGATTCTGACAGGCTAGTGTTCCATTTTTAAAACTATGGGGGTTGGTCACAGTGGTAGGGGACTTGTCTAGCAAATGTGAGGTCCTGGGTTCAGTCCTTGTCACCAAATAATTTAAAAGAAAATATATGGTGTGTTGTGTGTACAGATGTCCCTCATTCAGCAGCCTAGCCAGTCCCTGTGCCAAGGTCATTAGCTGAATTGGTTGCTAAGTGAAGAGTTGTCTGTACTGTGTACACAGTATTACAATATTCATAACAAAGAAATGGTCAAGTGAAACTCGTGATAACTGGTTTTATTTGCATGAATTCACATGCGGTAATGTATGTAACAGGAGAAAACTGCAATACAGTACAGTGCAGTCAGTAAAGGTTGGTACTTTACTGTAGAGGAAGCCACCATAAGGCCACACCGCCCGCTGCTCAGAGTCCTGCGTCATAAGTCTGAGCAGCATGTTGTAAATAGGTGGGCCATCAAATGAGAAGATACCTGTACAGAATAGCCGTGTGCCAGCTGTCCCATCATCAGGGTGGGTCGCGGTGCCTGATACTTAAATTGAAAGGAGGGCCTCATTTGGCGTATGGTCTCGGGGGTCCCGGCTGGTCAGGGGGCCCTCAGGGAAGTCATGACAGAAGGCCTGACGGAGCGAAGCAAGCAGGTACCGAGTCGCAGTGCTGGTGCCTGCTTGGCCAGGGGGAGGCGAGGCCAGACGGCAGCTCCTTCGCGGCTGCAGGAGGCGGCAGTGGCACTCTGCCAGGGTTACGCAGCAGCAGCAGCACCCGCACATGAGATGGCTTTGCCCGGGAGGACCACCTTTGGGTCCCAGTTGTACCTCATCCAGGTTTTTCTGTCCAAATGATCATGAAGAGATTTGAGAAAAGAAAGATAGAACATCAGTCTCAAATGGCTAACAGTACAATTCCCCAAGGTTCTGTTTTTTCTGCTTCCTCTCTTCTATTCATTTGTTTACCATTCCCAGACTTCTTCTTTAAACATTTTGAATATTCCATTCTAACTGTGATTTATTTTCTGCTGCTCTATTATTATTACATCTTGGTAGAGTTTTTAGGCGATTGGTTTGCTCCAGCGATGGCAAACCTGTGCCTTGCTCGCTGCCGCAGGCTGTTTGTATCATTAAAAGTTGCAGAAGGTTCACTATTCCTGGCTTAGGAACTGCACTATGATTTATTTGTATAATGCTTTCGCAGTCTGCTTGGAATCAACACAAGTACAGAGTAGAACGTGATACCATGTAAGGCCCCTTTGCCTTTTCTCTTTATACTGTGCTTACGTATCGTGTGTGCTACACTGAACAGCCAACAGCAAGGGCTGCAGTTCTTGCTTTCACACATTCAACATTTTGCAAACAACTCCGTGGACAAGGAGTAGCCTGTTACGTGGCCAAGCAAGTGCCACTTCCGCTCTCTTCTTTCACTCTTGATTGCCCGCGTGGTCTTCTGGCATTAGTTCCCTTCCGTCTGAAGTCCTTCTGGCAGTCCTTTCAAAGCAGGCATTTGGTCAACACACTCTCACAGTTCTCCTTCCTCTGAAATCTCTTTATGTCACTATCACCAGTGGCTTCAAGGCAGCTGGTATGGCGAGAGGAATCTGGAATGGGAACAGTGAATATGGAAAGGAAGGCCAGGACCAGATTTTGTGAAAGTTTGAATCGTATGTATTAGAGCTTAGGGATTGTGTATGAAAAATTACCTAATACATCACTCAGCACCTCCTGAATACTGATTGAGGTTCAGCAGAACCTATAGGAAAATAACTACAGCAGAAGAGGGAGGGAATAATTGATAACTGATGCTGTGTTGGAAATTTAAACATGAGATCCAAATCAGTGACATACTAACACCTTCTAAAACATCTGTCAGTGATTTTTTTTTTTTTTACAGCTGCTTTAGGGCCCTTACAGTAAAGCCTATGGATGACCGACTTCTGGGCGTCTGAGAGTTGCTGCTGGGACGCATTGCCCCACACTCGCCACTCTAAGGAGGAAGGGTTTATTTGCCTCAGAGTTTGCAGAGGCTTCAGTCCGTAGTTGGCTGACTCCAAAACAAGGCAGCATGACAGCGGGGAAACAGTTCGTGACATGGTGTCAGGAAGCAGAGGGATGACAGCAGGAGGGAGAGACCCTTCCCGGCCATGCCACTGGTGACCACCTCCTCCCACCAATCATCTCCCACAACCCATTCACCTATAAACCCATCGGTAGACGGACCATACCCCATGAACCATTCTCCTCCCAGAAGTCCACCTACGAGCATCCCGAGGCTTTGGGGGAACCTGCAGATATAAGCCATAACAATGTCTTCTCCTCCTCTTTCTCCCTCTTCCTCTCCCTCTCCCTCCTCCCTCCTCCCTCTCCCCCTTCTCTTTCTTTCTCCTCCTCCTTTTTCCTCCTCCTCCTCTCTCCTTTCTTCCTCTTCCTCTCCCTCTCCCTCCTCCCTCCCTCTCCCCCTTCTCCTCCTCCTCCCCCTTCTCCTCCTCTTTCTCCTCTTCCTCCTTTCTCCTCCTCCTCTCACTTCCTCCTTTCTCCTCCTCTCCCTCTCCCTCCTCCCTCCCTCTCCCCTT